CTACTACTACTACTACTACTACTACTACTACTACTACTACTACTACTACTATTACTACTATTACTACTATTACTACTACTACTACTACTACTACTACTACTACTACTATTACTACTATTACTACTATTACTACTATTACTACTATTACTACTATTACTACTATTACTACTACTACTACTACTACTACTACTACTACTACCCGGTTTGTAGTCCGGACAAGGCCGTCTTGTTATAGACAGTTGTTCGTCCACTTTAGTCTTCGCGTAGTTGTGAACGAGGCGCACTCTGGACCATCTCAACATCAGAGAAAAGCAACAAGGCTATTAGGGAGACTATATGTGTTGCTGGCAATATGAAAATTCCGTACAATACGCATTGGTTTCTGTACACTCTACCCAAATTCGTGGGTAAACTTCTATAATTAGTGAAGAATCTCCTGAGCTCAGCTGAGGAAAGTAAACATATATTCCAACTCCAACACTGCTAATCTTCTATTACGCGAAGTCTCCATACACCTTAGAAATTGCACTGTACTCGCTTGAGGGCTTCTTGGGAATCAGCGGGACAGGGTTACTTGTGTGTTGGCAAGATGCGCGGGAGAATCGATCACGTGATCGATAGCGCACGTCCATAGTGGGAGGTGGTATGCAATGATACTCACAAGTCAACCGTCTCGACATGGCTCCTAAGGGTTCAAAGACCACCAAGAAGGGAAAGACTCTCCCCGCCGTCCCTCAGATCGGCAAGGCTGAGAAGACCAAGGCTCCCGCTCACGGAAAGTAGGATCGGGATAGTGGCGGGGTGTATCGTGAGGTTGAATGTGGAAGATTCAAAATAGGTCCGATTTCAGCCCATTGATTGATTCTATGATTAGGTCCATTCTCCCTGAGAAGAAGACTCGTGCCTTCGGCATCGGTCAGGACATCCAGCCTCGTCGTGACCTCACTCGTTACGTGAGGTGGCCCAAGAACGTCAACCTTCAGCGCAAGAAGTCCATTCTCATGCAGCGCCTGAAGGTGCGACCTTGAGGGGCTTATTATCAAGCCTACTCCAAGGTGCCACCAATGTGGGCAAGGCCTTGAGCCTGAGCATGTCTCTTCCTCTAGCGGCTTCAGCTGCTGTCATCATAGAGGTTGTAGTTCTGCTCGCTGCCTTTAGATGCTTCAGCATCCTTTGGTTGGTCATCTGGAGAGGCTTCGTAATTCACTCTGAGCAACATTGGAGGATCGAATTTTACTTTGTCTCGTCTCAGGTCCCACCGATGATCAACCAGTTCACCAACACCTTGAACAAGAACCAGGCCACTCACGTCCTCAAGTTCTTGGCCAAGTACCGTCCCGAGACTCCTGCTGACAAGCGTGCCCGTCTTATGGCTATCGCTAAGGCTAAGGAGGCCGGTGAGGATACCACTCAGACCAAGCCCACTGCCATTGCCTATGGTCTCAACAAGGTCACCTCCCTCGTGGAACAGAACAAGGCCAAGCTTGTTGTCATCGCCTCTGATGTCGATCCCATCGAGCTCGTTGTCTGGCTCCCCACTCTGTGCCGCAAGAAGGATATCCCGTACTGCATCATCAAGGGCAAGTCCCGTCTTGGTCAGCTCGTCGGCAAGAAGACTGCCGCCGTTGTTGCTGTGACTGAGGTCGGTAAGGAGGATGCTGCCGCTTTGGAGACCATCCAGAAGACCATGCACGTCCAGTACAACGAGAACACTGACATCCGTCGTCACTGGGGTGGTGGAATCATGGGCCAGAAGTCCAACGATGTCATCGCTAAGCGTGAGAAGGCCCTTGCTGAGGAGGCCGCCAAGAAGATGGCTATCGCCGCTTAAGGAGGTTCCCTTAGAGCGATCGAGTTGGTCGTGGGTTGAGTTCGGTTCGGCTCTGGTGTTGCCTTTACTGTTGCGTTTTTGAGTGCTTGATGATTCAGTGGTATAGCAGGAGTGATTATGAAAGATGACGAGTCTGATTGGAAACCAAATGTGCCTGATGAACCGTTTTGGTTCTATGGCTTCATGCGGTGACCATTTCAATGACTGATTATTGAGGCATTTGTATGACCTGCTAATGGGGAGAATATGCGTATGATGACGAACACTTGTATTAGCTCTAACTGAAGCCAGTTTGGCTCTGTAGACATTACAATGTTTCAGCCTTGACTGACGTATCAATGGGAGGCAAATGATGATAAAAATATCAAATGGGTAATTTGCGTCCGAGGCCAAAGGCTGGTGACGATTACTTTAAATGGGAATCTCTCTGAAGCCTATCTAACTGTATCGCCTGCTGTGCTATGTGTCGTGGAACGCGAAAGCTCCGGATAGACCCCCTCGAATTGATTGTCGAATCATTGACTTTCCTGTTGTCCCGCATGTCCATATCTACGGGAGTTGTATTGTTGATTCTTACATATACAAGCAATGACCATCTAACCGGCTTTGCGAATGGGTCTCACGAATATTTATATGATGACATCTAAATCGTTCACTAAGGAGGTCTTTACCGCAAAGAGTCGTGAGAAACTCGTGCGGTGGGGCGAAGAAACACACAAGCGTCCGAATCAACCGTCGATATTGAGCGGTCACTTCATTGGCAAGATGGTTTTCGATTTTCATGTTTTCTGGATGGTCTCACTTTGGTTGCGTTTAATTCATATGTTGCAGTTGGTGGGTTTCCCTGAACTTGGTTCATCTCATACGAGGAGTAAGGGAATGGTAAAGTGGCCAGTGTAGTTGCAGTGGACCTATTCCTGTGCGTTGGAGAGCTATTGTGATAAGATTAATGTTGATTTATCATAGGGGGGGAGGTGTCTCAGGTGGATTTTCACCAAAAGCCTCTCGTTGTGTTCAAGTCGGGTGGAGGGGAAGACATAAGCTCTTTGGTGGATGACTGAGGTGAGTTTTGATCAAATGATACTGACCCAGTACAACCTCAGTTTTAATGAGGAGAGGAAACTCCCATTAATCGAAGGTATGGTGACATGATGAATCATCATCATTGATGGTGAATCATGAGGTTAGTTTGTACTTGTATCCCAACTATGTGTGCCGTCGAAGCTCTGTCAAAGAGGTGCTACTCGGGAGGCTCGAGTTCCGCACTCGGGCTCGGAACATTTCTGAGCGAAAAGTCTTTCGCTAAGATCTTTAGTGACTTGAACCACCACCAGAGCATCTAAAGATAACAGAAAAAACATAGAAAAAGGTAAATTGATCACGAAGTACATATCATTGGAAGACTAGTTCGCTCGGGTTGAAATAGGACACGAGACGTGGATCCAAGTCCTTGGGGATACCCCCTGGGTCATGGGATCCATGACCCATTCATTACGTCGTGATGGTCCAAATTGGTCGTTGTGAGGCAGTGCTTCGTGTAGTACTCGTTGTCACTTTGGGGTTGCATCATAGAGGTTCTAATTCATTACGCGGGCCAGGCCCTGCCCACTTATATCTATGTGGTTCTATGGTGTAACGGTTAGCACTCCAGACTCTGAATCTGGCGATCTGGGTTCAAATCCCGGTAGAACCTGTTTTCTCGCACCACATACGTGGAGAAAATTAGTGTCAAATCATCCCGGACTCCAAACCTACTGCGAGCAATCCGAATTCCACATCCAAGGGTTGGTTTTCCCGTCGAAGCTCTATCAAAGAGATGCTACTCGGGAGCCTCGAGCTCCGCACTCGGACGCTGCACTTTTCTGGGTGAAAGGTCTTGCGCTAAGCTCTTTAGTGACTTGGACCAACATCAGAGCATCTGAAGATAGCAGAAAAGACATGGAAAAGGTAAATTGATCACGAAACACGCATCGTTGAAAAAGTAGTGCGCGCACTCGTGTTGAAATAGGACCCGAGACGTGGATCCAAGTCCTTGGAAATAACCCCTGGATCACGGAATCCATGACCCATCCATGATATGGATACACTGTTTTCTCCAAGCCTAGAGAGGACTACTTCCTTTCCAGTTGGATTTTGGAAAACAGGGTACTTCAATTAGTCCCAGGTGTTGTGCGGAGGCCGAACTGCGGACGATAAGTGTGAGCTACCGTGCCTATGGTGAACGCGGGCCCATCGTGGCGCCGTGACAAATCTATTTGTACGAAATGCCGTCAGCATCAGCGTTAAATCGAGCCAGTCGTCGAGACTCAATTTTAGCGATCTATAATGAGGTCATTCCATGATTTTCTTGGTCGTTTGGATTTGTTGGAGCTCCCACCCTATCTTTAACTAGACAACGGTCACTTTACGTAGAGAAACTAGAAATAATCAGCTGCTCCTCCGTCATCATCATCTTCATCTCCTCCTCGAGCACCCTCATCCTCGAACTCACCTGCTCGACATTTCGCAATACCGAAACCAGACAACTGCAATGATCCACAACCTACCTGTTATCTCATAGTCATCTCCTCCAAAGCTCTCATTGTCGGTGACTTCAGCGTACTCCTCCATCGCCTCGTTGTCATCATTATCAGACTCGCCACCATCATCATCACCATCCCCTCCAGCCTACCAACAGTGTCTCCACTCTCCTGCGATTTCCGATCCTTACCTGTTCCAGTCGCTTCAGTAGACTCTTCCGGTTTTTCCGTCGTTCATTAGCTTCCTTGGACCGGAAAGTCGCGAGAGTGTCGGTTTGGAGCTCCAGTGGGAAGTAGTCCGCTGAGCCGACTTCCCTACAACAGCAACAGTGAGGAACTTCAGCCCGACGGTTACACAGAAGTAAAACAGCAATAGCCTACGCAACAAGCTGCTTCCAAA